ATTGCTTATCCACAGCTCTGGCGTGGAAATACAGGCAGCGAAATTGTGAAAAGAGTGAAAAGAAAGAGGCGATAGGTTGGCGATCGTTATTACACGGGTACTCAGGTCAGGGTTATGGCCAACGACGAATTCACGAGCCGTCGTGAATGCGCCGTAGATTTTACCGGTAATTTGCCAGTAATATTATAATCAACCCCTTGCTGAGCCCTTGAAGAGGTGACGACCCGTGCAATCGTAGGTTTCGCCTTACTCGATGCTTTCGTTTTTTTTTTTTTTTTTTTTTTTTTTTTCCTTCTTTTCGACTCATTCTCGCTGGCGATAAACCTTCGAAAACCTCTCGACAAACATTCGTCATTAAGTAACTTCTAATCGATACTATCGAATCGACATGTTTATGCTCTTCATTTCCTTCGTCTTCTTCTTTTGTTTCAGACGATATCATAGGAGTTCACTGCACTCACGGCGTGAACCGTACCGGATACCTGATTTGTAGGTTAGTATGTCTCGTTTCGAAGCAAAGAAATCACTCGACGTATATAAAACGTTGCGATGAAATCGACAGAAGCGAGACGCCGTACACGTGTACATTCGTGTGTTTCGTTACAGGTATCTGGTGCAGCAACTTGGTTGGAAGCTGGACGATTGCTTGAAAGGTAGGCGAGTTCGTAAACGTGTTGGAGAAGGCGGGAAATAGAATCGTCGCGGCTTGCGTTCACGTGTGTCGTGTTGCCTTCGTGTGTTTCAGCGTTCGAGGCGGCCCGCGGCCACCCGATCGAGCGGAGAATCTATCTGAACGTGTTGCAGAGAACGCCGCGCGAGAAAGTCGACACGAGCAAGATGAGCTTGAGCTGGAGAAGGCCACCAGGTGCCGAGCAGGAGCCGCCAGCAGCCAGCCGAAAACGCGTACCGTTCAAACGCCCGTACCCTAGCCGCGAATCCTGGCGAAGCGGTTTCACGAACGGCCCGTTCTCGCCGCTTCCGCCTCCGCTGCATTTCGCTTTCGCCGGTCCGCCGCCTATTGCGCCCTTTCGTCCGCCGCCTCCGCCTGGCATGCTGCCGCCTCCGCCGCCTCCACCGCCGCCTCCGCCGCCGCCGCCATCGCTGTTAGGCCATCCGCCGCCCATGTACAGGCCCAGGCTGTTCAGGTACGGACCATCAGCGCGACCAGTCATGCATCCACCGCCACCTAGACCAGGATTCCCTGTTCCAGGTTTCCCGCCACCGTGTTCGCCAAGAGCAGCGAGATTGCCGCCGAGGTTACCGCCGCCAAAGATACCTCCGCCACCACCCCCTCCGCCGCCCCCTATCCTCCCGTTGCAGTCGTCCGCGCCGCCGCGGCTCAAACCCGTCGCGATCCCCAAACAGTTGCAATCGCAGAAACGAAAGTCGCACGTACGAAACGGCGTTACGACGATGCCGGCTAGGCAGAGCAGCGGCAGGACGTTGCTGGAGTTGTCGTTGAAAGAGCAGGATTTCACGGTCGATACGTTCGAGGAGAACCTCGCCGTCGCCTCGAGCCAATCGAGCGGCAGACGGTCGGCCAGAGGCAGATTCCGTCAGTCCAAGTGACGACGTGCCGTCATTTAGGGGTCGTTGTCTATGTATGTAACATGTGTAATTACTCGAGCGTTACAACAACTCGTTTGACAACAAGTCATTCATTTGTTACCGAGGTTCGCTGCTGCTCCTCCCATCAGGCGGAACGTCTTCGTTGCCCATCGTTGGCCACAGAGATTATCGGTCGCGAGTTACGGAACAACGCCTGCGAACGGATATGTCGTGGTTTTTTTTTTTCTCTCTTTTTCCGATTTTCTTCCGACGACTGCGAGGAATCAATCGATGTCGCTCGTCCAACAAAGTGTTTGTACAAAGCGTGAAATTTATATAGTACGAGAGAGAGAGAGAGAGAGAGAGAGATTGATGTCCTTTCTCCTTTCTCCCCATCCCTCAACATGTCAGAACGTTCTCTCTCGTTTCTAATGAAAATAAATACATTTTTCGCTACACGTCGATCCAATCCCGATTCTCCTTGATTCTCAATTGATCATGGTTTCATGTACAATGTAAACGTCCGAGGATTGCGATTTAGTACTTAATTACAAGCTACTACACTCTTCGACTCGCGCCTTTAATCTTAGAGTGGAAATAAACCTTTATCGGGCAGTGTTTCGGCCTCGTGCTTCTCAACACATCGACAAATTGATTATAGCTACAGTTATATATATTTTGTCACTGAAATACACAATGAATCCTTCATTTCTCTCGAGATTCCTTCGGTTTCTTCTCTCGCTGATTATTTCAAACAACCTTCGTTCAACGAGCCTACTCTCGATTCGGAGTAACAATTTGCTTGCGTAGAAACGAAAAACGTGTGTGTAATGTACTTTGGCATACTAACAAACGGTTACGGTACGTTCGGTTTCATATGTATATTTAATTCGTTCGACGAGTAATATACGCTAAAGTGCGATTTAACGTCTCGTGCACGTCTTTTCACTGGAAACAGGAAAATCGTTTCTCACCGAGTGTTTCAAATTTTTAATTTTTAAATACTGTTCTGTAAACATTTATTTTCATTCTACGCTATGTATCGTGCTATGTAATTGTAACGCTTCTTCGTCGATCATTCCGTATTACAATTTTCGTGTTTGATTCGATTCTT